TTCATCAGGTGTCGTCTTTGGGCAGCGGTAACGATCACGTCATGGACGCCATCTCGCAGTGTGAGCAGTACGCAAAGGAGCAGGGCGCCCAGGAGAGGAATGCTCCCTGGAGGCTGTTCTTCAGGAAGGAGATCTTCAGCCCCTGGCACAACCCTGCCAAGGACTACGTTGCCACAAACCTCATTTATCAGCAGATCGTCCGGGGGGTGAAATTCGGAGAGTACCGCTGTGAGAGGGTGAGCCTCTGAGCTGTGTGCAACTCTGCATGCTTTGTGTAAAAGAGGGTGAGATACTGATGGATCCATATGGATCCACTGGAGTATGACTGTGTGAATATTACATTAAACCCACTTGAATGGGAGAATGAGTCTTGTAGTAAGAAAGGTTTCTGAGCATTTAAATAGAGTAGAAAAGCACTTTATAAGCACCATTATGTAATGTACGGTTGTAACGACAGTAGTATCACCCACTGGTTTCTGGAATTTGCACTTTAAAGCCTCAAGGTTTGCATTTTGTTATAACAATATAAGACAAGGCCTTGAGTGTATCAGCGAGACAAGACTGAGATGGTCTGGACATGTACAGAGGAGGGATAGTGGATATTGGACAAAGGATGGAGCTGCCAGACTGAAGGCAAAGAGGATGGGGGACATGCAGAGGGCTGCCGTGACAGAAGAGCTTGAGCTAGTTTTGCAGCTTTTTGATCTACTCATCCTTCTTTGTTCTTCCAGTTTTATTATCCGATCGTAGGGTTGTCATCCAGTGCAGGATAGGGCACCAGTCTTCTGCAGGGCCAATGCAGAGTAACAGACAACTACTTCGTATTTACAAAATATACAGAATGGAGGGGTAGCTCTAGACTTTTGCACAGTACTGTATATTGATCAGCCCATCTGGTTCTCCTGATATGATCTTATCTACTTGAAAGAAGAGTTGATGGCAGGTTTCAGGTGTTGGGCTTGCTTTCTCCTGACCATTGCTTCACCCTGTATCTGTCTTGAAGGAGGAGGACTTGGCAGAACTGGCCTCTCAGCAGTACTACGTGGATTACGGCTCCGAGGTCCTCCAGGATCGTCTGCTCAGCCTCATTCCGTCCTACATCCCCGACAGAGAAATCACCTCCACTAAGACTGCAGAGAAGTGGGTTCAGCTCATCATCAGCGCCCATAAAAAGGTACCTTCTGGTCAAGTGATGAAAACCAGTCTTAATTTTGTGCTGTTTTCTGGGAGAATCTAACTATAGCTCACTGTGCAGGGAGTACAAATGAAAAGGAGGGTAAACACGCAGAAGGTGAAGGAGGATGTGGTGGATTTTGCTCGTTTAAAGTGGCCTTTACTCTTCTCACGCTTCTACGAGGCCTTCAAATTCTCTGGTTGGTAAAACACTGTACCTCTTTCTAAACTACTAAATGCTTTGTTCCCATCAGTGGTTGTGGATATTTTTTAATGGATGTGACCACATCTGCTCACAGGGCCTAGCCTGCCCAAGAATGACGTTATCGTAGCGGTGAACTGGACCGGCGTTTACTTTGTGGATGAACAGGAGCAGGTCCTTCTCGAGCTCTCTTTCCCAGAGATCATGGCTGTGTCCAGCAGCAGGTATGACAAACAGCCACAAATGCACCAAATGACAGGCACCCCAAAATAAAGTACAAAGTATATTTGAGTTGTACAAAGTTAATAAGTGAATTAATTGCTGCTGGTTTCTTGGCATTTATATTGACCTTAAAGGTTCTCTACAAACAAACAATCGATTTGTTTGTCTTAACATCAGGAAAATCTTGGTTATTAATGGCATCTTCCCACAACAACTTCTAAATCTGAAGCTGAAGAAATCTGATTATATAGAGACTATAAGAAAACAGCCTAATGGCTGTCTTGTGTTGCTTTATGACCTCAGAAAAACCTTCCCTGATGAGTTCATGGTCTTAATCGTTGCTTTCACCTCTGGTTGAACAGAGCATGATGTCAGCACATGCTAGCAGGCAAGCTATATTTTAGCTAACATTAGCCAGAATAAACAGGGTTTGCTCCTCAACCTAGCTAGCTAAATTCAGTTTTGCTAATTCTCAAGCCACACTATTTTGGAGGCAACCAAGATAATCAGAGATGGTATCATTCTTTAATACTTCTTTAATAAGTTAAAAAAATATTTACATACATAACGTTTAATTTCAAACAAGACTTTCTTCACTTCTGTGCTGATACAAATGATTGTAAGCATTACTTAATAAATATATTTTTAGCATTTTTAAGTTTTTAGGGATCTTCTGCTTGTCAGAATTGCATCTTGTCCATATTTTGAACTATCATTGATAAAGCAAAGTTTAACTTTGCAGAGGGGGTAAACTCCAGGGACAGAGCTTCACTCTGGCCACCATCAAAGGAGACGAGTATACGTTCACCTCCAACAATGCAGAGGACATCCGCGACCTGGTGGTCTCCTTCCTCGAGGGTCTAAGGAAGAGATCCAAATATGTGGTGGGACTGCTAGACTGCCTGAACCCACGTAAGATTCACTGATGAATTAGAAATAAAAAGGTGTTTTTAGGAGCAGAATGGTCAATCTGTTTGTCATCTCCCCGGCAGTAGGGGTAGATTCCAACTTCCTGAGTTTTGCTAAAGGAGATCTGATCATCTTGGACGAACATGACGGAGAGCATGTGATGAACTCTGGCTGGGCACACGGCGTCAATGACAGAACCAAACAGAGAGGGGACTTCCCTGCTGACTGTGTCTATGTGCTACCTACTATCACCCGACCACAGTATGATATAGTGGTGAGTGCGGTCAGAAAAATAATCTCTGTCTTCCAGATTCTGCTGGAATGTTGTTGTTTTTTTTAATCCAGCAGGTTGTTTTTACAGGACAGAACTAGAAGTCTAACCAGTTCTTCCAGTGTAAGTGATTTCAGGATGTCCCCGTGCAACAGTGTGTAGACATACCTGGTTATTGTAGCTAAATAGCTCAATCTTTGTTTCATGTGACCACAAAACTTTTCTCCAGGAGGCATTTGGATTATCCACGTGGGCAGCTGCAAATTTCAGTCAAGCTTGAAGGTGTCAGCGGCTTCTTTAATGTTCAGTACTTTCTCAGTCCATCCATCCATTCTCTTCCACTTATCCAATTTAGGGCCCCGGGGGCGCTGGAGCCTCTCCAAGCTGTCTTAGGGCGAGAAGCAGGGTACACTCTGGACAGGCCACCAGTCTGTCGTATGGCTAACACATAGAGACAGGTTGAACCTTAGTGGTTCCTGGCTTGTTCCTGAACATCATGACCGGTTTTCTCTCATTTTTGAGGGTGACAGTTTGGGTCTTCTTCCAGAACTTGGCAACATGGTTACATATCCGAATAACTTGGACCAAGAGCAGGGCGATATGACCAAAAACATTTATCACGATATACATTAGAAAATTTGCGATAACGACATAACTGACGATATAATTGACACTATGTAGTTTCACTTAAACAAGCAGCTGTTTTTTTTTATGTGCATTAAAGTTATATAAAAATTTAACAGTGCAAATGCAAATTCCTTGCTGACAGTTTAACCAAAAGGCATTTCCAGTGGAAATTGGCCGATATATCCTGAGCATAACCATGTATAATATCCACAAAACTTAAAAAGAGG